TTCTAATTTGTGAAAGCATTTTTTATTCAATTTCATTGAAATTTTTGATTATTTTGTAAACATTTGGTGTTTTTTCTCCCCTTGGTATCCCCCAAATGGTATTTTTCAAATTTCCCCTTGTATCCCCTAGTTGTTGAGTTTTTTTGTGAAAACATTGAAGAAATGCTCCAAGTCCTGTTTTCAAGGCAAATTTCCATTTGTTTGGTTTAAAATAAAGCTAAATTAGCTATCTGTGTACTCAGTTGGTGTACGACTTCCTTTAAATTGTATAATTTAGAAATTTTAAAATAAACTTGTCCATTACATTTGAAACATGGAATAAAACATTTATTTTCTACCTAGCAAAAATAGTTGAATCAGCCCTATTTATTCAAAACAATAAAATTGTGCCGCGGAATCTAACGCCTTAGAACTATGATGATAAGGTTAATTTTCGAGTGATAGGAGGGATGGCCGAACGGGGATCTTAGAGGGCAGCACTTTCGCACAATATTTATATAAATATTTATGTTGATGTTTCTACATTTATGTGAAAAAATCAAATTATTAACCAAATAAATTTAATTAATACATAATTATATATTTGAAATCTATTTTCGAACTCATAATGGGTTTATTTGGCAGATCAAATCAAAAAAATCCATCGGAAATGGTAAGCTTTTGATAAGTCACAACGCAAATCTTAGAGAAATTTTATACGAAACCAATATTTGTTATGAATTTTGTTAATTCATGAGTTTGTTATTCACAAGGTAAAGGAATGGAATGGTAAACTTAGAAAAGAGGGTTACGCTTTAGATCGTCAAGTGCGATCAATAAAACGCGAAGAGGATAAAATCAAGAAATCATTGAAAGAAGCTGCAAAAAAGAATGATAAACAAGTTTGTACTATTCTCGCTAAAGAAATGGTAAGGTCGAGAAAAGCAGTCAATAGAATATATGCCAGTAAAGCCCAATTGAGTTCAGTTCAACTCCAAATGCAACAACAGTTAGGTGAGTCATTCGACCTTGAAAATTTTGTTTCGAATTACCATTGATTATTTTTAGCGACACTGAAAGTGTCAGGTTCTCTTCAAAAATCAACGGAAGTAATGCAGGCAATGCAAAGACTTGTAAGATTGCCTGAAATATCAAACACAATGCGCGAAATGTCTAGAGAAATGACAAAAGCAGGTATTTTGGAGGAAATGATTGAAGAGACAATGGAATCACTTGAAGATTCAGAGGAGATTGAAGAAGAGGCACAAAGTGAAGTAGATAAGGTACTCTGGGAACTAACTGATGGCAAACTTGGTAAGAGATTAAGAAAGATTAAGAAAGCCATTAAATAAAAATCAAAAACGTATACATTTTTTAACTTTCAGGTGAAGCTCCATCAGTGCCTATTTCTACACCAAGTGAACCAGCTGCTGCCTCGAAAGATGAAGAATCCGGAGAAGAAGATTTGGAGGAAATGAGAAATAGATTAGAAGCACTAAGATCTTAAAACCATTGGTTTCATTGAATTAATAATACATGTTAAGAAATATGTATCTATGCTTTAGAATGCTTGTTTTTGTATGTGATACAGCATAAATTTACTAAAAATATGTGTCAGACAGGGCAAATTTCCTGTTTCATAGAAACCAATTTAAATACCAACATTATTTAATGTCCAATTTATGTCCAACGCATCTTTGCAGCACGTATTTTATAATTCAAAATTATTTTTGAATTTCGTTTATTCACTGACAGCTTTGTTAACCTTCATAATGACTAACTTGATCAGAGTAAAAAATAAAAATCGATATATTTATGCATTTTAATAAAATATGAAAAACTATAAAATCTGTATCATTTATTTTAAAATATATTTTATTGAGCGTTTACTATTTTCACTGATGAATAAAATCTCTGTTTTCACAAGCCACCTTACTTTGTGCATAGTGATTATTTAATGTAAACAAGAAACAACATAAAAACATATTATCGAATAAGATGGCCGAAAACATATTCTGAACGTTAATGCGTAATATTTTATTGACATTAATCATTAATTATACACATATCTACATTTCTAGAATACTAAATGATCATCATCTGAATTTAAGGTTTTTGAAGCTCATTGAAATTGGCGAACTGCTTTTGATTATGTACAACTTTCGAAAAATCACTTAAAACAGGAAACTTATATATGGTTTATGGCATAAATTTAATGTAAACACTTTTGTATAATAAGGTACAATAATCTTGGGAATATTCAATATTGTCAATTACCTTAATTACCAATATGAAATTTTGAGATGAAAAATTGTCAATATCACACTTTTCCTTATAAAACATAGATAATAGAATTTTGAAAATTCTGGCGTGTTTCTTATCATATTTTTAAAGGAATATCTTTGTTGATTGATCTTTTTTAATTTTTGCTTAAAATAAAATATTGAAAGAGATAAAAATTAATTCATTCCTAACAACTGGGAGACGAAATGTGAAAGATTTTAATTCTGAAGCTGTCAGATTAGGATCTTTTTATGCGATTCTGTTCTAGACCTGAGAATGATGTAAAACATATCTATGTATGTTAAATATATCTAATTTTGTTTTTTTAATTATTTTTATTACAAACGCTGTCTGAAACAAAATAAATTTTAATTTGAATAAAATATCCTTTAATTAAGTTGTTTGTTATTTATAATTTTATTTTCTCATTTTGTATTTCAAAAATATGAGAAGTAGGTATTTCCATAAAAAAGTATTTTAATTATAAAAAAAATCTGAAAGAAATATATCTATGTATAAATAAGTTTATCATTTTAAAACGTTTTCTTTTATAATTTAGATAGTTATCATACTTTTCCGTCGATATTAGTTGAGTCTCTGAAAAGTTTCTTTGTAAGTGATGAGTGAAGAGAGTATTCTGAGTGGTTCTGCGGAATTCGTATAGTGCCTTGTAAAAATATTGAACAATATATCGATTGAAACAAATTAATTATGGGAAAAGCATTAGCACTAAACGATTATTTGAATGTCATGCAAATATGTATATCAGATAATCACAAAAAGTTATGTATGCACAGTTAAGCTGTAATTAAAGATTAGTTTCACGAGTTCACACGTTTTCATAATTATTAAGCAAAAAAATAAGTAACAAAAATTAAACAGCGAAACCTTAAGAAAAAATAAAACTTGAATCAAATAAATTAGAAAAAAAATGTTATAGAGATGATGAGCACACTAGCATAAAAGATTGAAAAATGCATTGAATTTCGTTTCTTTATATCAACTATACAAATTATTACTCTTTTTTATCTTATTTACATATTTATAATATCAATACCCAATTTTCAAAAGAACGAGTTAGAAAAAACAGAATTGATAGAAGATAAAATAAAAATAGCAAACCTACAAATAGTTTCAAATAAAATTCTTCAAAATAAGAATGATAAAAGTATTTCAACATTTCTTACCATTATCTTTATTATGTTTTTGTTTGTTCACAAATTAGATGTTTTACAATTATTGTTTATTGTTTCTAGATCTCATTAACATGTTATGTTTCATTTTCTTTTAAATACACTGATGTTTTTCATAGATTGAATATAGAGATACAACATTGATAAATACCATAAATTTATGCTAGAGACATACATTTCATGTAGTGCAATTTAACAAAAATATAAACATCAATGCAAAGTCATAGAGTTTAGAGCATGTAAATATGTTTAACAAAAAAAAGTATTAGTTATATTCAATGATGCTATAATTTATGTAAGAAGAGTAAAATAAATGAAAAAGAAATTTAAACTGTAATACTGTTTTGATTCATTTAATCTTTTTCGGCAAGTGGATCATGGATCAATATGTATATCTTTATTTGATCACTAAGAGTTTTCGATAGTTATGAAACTTCTTTAGTAAGCTACTGCTTATCGTTAAAATTTCACTTGAAAATAAGGGACATAATGTTTAATGAGAAAATCAATAGAATGTTCACAAAGCATTTGGAAATGATACTTTGTTGAGTAAATCAAAAAGTTTGTGTTATTGCAATAACAGGGTTAAATAGAAATGATAAAAGTCAGATGCAGTTATTACGAGTTAATGAAACTATGCTATACTGACAATAGAAATATAAAATAAAATATTAAACAGTATTAATGATTATATGGAAATATATGTTTCACAAATCAAAACTTATAAAACCAAAACGGATCGCTTTTTTCATAGAGTTTGACATGGAATACTCCGGAAATTTATCCACTTAAGTTTGAATGGACAGTTATAAAAAAGTATTTGAATTGATAATGTTGAAAAGATTATTCTTGTAGTCTAGTTAAATATGTCTAATTAATGAATTAAAAAAATTCCTTTCATGTCGATATGTTAATTGAATAGATGTGTATTACGTTTTATGCCAAATTGTTTTGAAAAATGAAAACGATCAATTGTGGTGTTTTACAGTTTTGATATTTGAAGTATTATGATTAGATGCTTCAATGAAAATTTTATGTAAATTATATAACTTTATTTTTAGTAGCTCTAATTCATTAACTGATGTTAAGATAAAAGTTATGTGTGTTAAATAGAGTATTAGATATTAATTTGAAGATATAATGAGATATTATGATTATATATATAGCATTCCGTACATTTTGAGATTCAAAGCCAGAAGTGATCATTAAAACTTTTAAATTTTAGATAATAAGACAACAAAATCAAGTGATATCAGAAATTGAGTTCCTTGTGTAATTAGCTTTTTGAAGTTTCCTAAAGCAATTTGAAGAAATTAATAAAAGTCACAAGTAAACAAATAAACACAGATTTAAAGAGAAAGAGATAGAGAAAAAATACAGAGATTAAAGAAGAGACAATGAAAAGCTCAAAACATGTCCTTAGTGCATCAAGTAAAAATCAAATTTAATAAAAACTTTAATTTCCGAATAAGAAAGATTGATTGTAACCCAAAAAGGCATAGATGGAAAGGGAAAGTTCTAAATAAACTACTGCACTAAGAACATTTATGTGTCAATCACTGATTAAAATATTGTTACTTAGATAAAGTTTTAAGTACTTTTTCTATTTCCTTTTGTATTTTTCTTCTTTCATTTATATCTCTTTGTTATAGCAAATGTGTATTTTTTTAATAAAGAGATTGAGAGAATAATAAAGTTTTGTGTGTTACAGAGGAGAAAATAGCCAGTTACATTAAGTAGCAATCATGTTTTATGCTGTTCGAGATAATTATATTTTTTTTTGTATTGTTTTTTTGTCGTTCTTTGAGAGAAAAATCAGCAAACCTTCATATTGATGAACATTGAAATGTTGAGAAAAAGGTCGCTTAGAATTTAGATGTTGAAGCTATATGAAAACTAGGCATAAATAACTACATTTTACCCACATCCTGTTGATTTAATTCAACCACAATAGTTAAATACTTATGCAAGTCAAGAGTTATAATAATGCTTTTTTATTACTTTCCAATCAATAATGACAGTAATTTTTTTAAGTTTATTTCAATTCGGTTGAATAACGATTATTAACAACATTATATTTTTTTGCCTTTTTTTCGTCTTATATTTTTTTTTTACTTTAGAAATTCAACAACATTTTCATCAATAAATTTCAATTTCTTCAGCGTCAATAAATCTTCAACATAATGTTTTTTTTTGTCAAATTTTATGGATTTTTTACCTAATTCAGCATCACCTAAAGATTCTAAAGGGGCTTGTTATCTTAAGATTAGACTACATGTTTAATAGCTTAAAAATAACCTCAAACCAAACATTAGCCCATTGATTTTTCTTTAATTTTTTCAAAATCTCTTAAATACTAGGTAGTTACTTCAAATAAGCTAAATATGTAAGTTGTTTGAAAGCTTATAACCAGAAAAAAATATAAGTGAACATAGAGCAAACAATCTGTTCTATTGCTATTGCCAGATTTTGATTCTTGTTATGATCTAATTTTTTAGTCTGAAAATAAAGCAAAACTACTACTGACGTCAATTGAGTTTGAAAATATTTATCGGAGTCTCTCAAAATTCTTCTTCCTAAGGAATTCTTCAACAAGGCTGAAAGATCAATTTTCAAAAGTTTATTGAAAGGAGATGTTAAGGGATTTTTAAACTTTATATTTGTATGTTGCTTCATCTCTACCTAGCAAAATATTTGATCTTTTGAAAATGATTTTTTGAATGAATTCATTCAAGGCCTTAATGTTTGGAATGACTAATGAAAATTTTTGTAAAACTTTAAATTCAACAAACGCTACTGATTTTGCCACTGAAAGTTGATGCATCCCAAAATAACTTTTTACTATACCATTTAATAATACTCTCATTTTGCAAATAATGTTGAATAATTAAATATTTTCAAATATTACGAAACAGGGCAAAAATGGAAGTTTTTTCCCATTCATTATGAAAAAAAGAAAAACGTACACAAAGCAGCTGTAAAACTGGGAATTTTGTGAGGTATAGCTGTTCTGTTTAATTTTTTTTCTTTTTCGTAAGAAAAAGTTATTTAACATATCGAACAATAAGAAAAATAATAAACATCAACCCATAGGAATTAATATTGCTCATATTTTTTTTGCTTCTATGGCTTATACATACTTTATCAAGGAGAAAACAATTTTAAATAGATATTTGCTTGAAAATTTTCATTTTACTTGCAGTAGGAACTTGCTAGTTCCCAAAATATTAGACATCTTCATTTTTTAATCGTTTATGAATTCCAACATAATTTTATCTAATCCCAACTATTAAAGTTGAGATTAAAGATTAAATATTTGAATTATGGCTATTCAAATTACAGAATCATAGAAAAAGCTTAGTGTGTGTGTTGGTATTATACTTTAAAGAACAACCTTAATCCATGAACTAAATCTTGTAAAATCAAAAATATTCAAAGGCAAATACGTAATACAAAAAGATTTATGCATATTTTTGAGCAAATTCCTGTTGTTGAAATATGTACATGAATTATATCCATTTTCCATATGATCTTCATACCTATGATTAGTAAGAGTGTTCAGCCAGACCTTAGTTTAATGGGAAATCTAAATATTCACATATTCATGTGATATTAATAGTCTGATCTACATAAAGATTTTTCAAGTTTACTTTTTTCGCTCAAGCATTAAGGCTATAACAGTCGAAAATATTTGGAACAGAAAAAAAAAGAAATGACGGCTAGGAAGAGATTTCATTGTCGTCTAAATTATACGAAACAGAAGCCACAAATTCAGAATTTCTGATTTACGTGTAAAACCGATAAGCATTGTATATTGAGTTTGAGTTATGAATGAAAATTAGAGAAAAGTTTTATTCATATTAGAATATAGAAATCTTAGTTGTTAATTTTTCTGTATGCTTATTGTAAGAATTCGTTGATGTAACTGACAACAGCAAGAGAAAAGTAACGAAGGATGAAAAAGCCCAAGGTGTAAATATTGAAGAAAATTTTATTTGGGCCCAAAAAATTAAAAAGATAATTTTTAAAGAGTCAACTTTTGAAATAAAAATTTTAGATCGGTAATTTATGGGCACATTTACTCATGTCTTAGACATAGATCATGTCTTTAGTAAATAACTAAATCTTCTGAACAGTGGATAATTTAATAGTCGTGTGTATATTAACAAGGGTTGAAAAAACAACGTTTTTCTTAAAAATATTGCATTGGCATGTTAAGAGTCGTTGGCTGAAATTATGATCAGGAATACCTTTTTTCTTCCTTTACTTTCTTTTTTCTTCTTTTAGATATATAGAGCTTCGGGAGTAATCCTTTTCTGGTAACAAAAATACCATTTAAAAACTTGAAAATTTATCACAATTTATTATGAAAGTGCAGCATCAGAAACTCTTCTCGCTTCAAAAGTGCACTTTTGTGTACCTTTTTATAGCTCATATACTATCAGAATTATACTGAAACAATTTTTTACTGTTGACAAATTTGTTTTCAACTTTTAAGTTAACGTCCTTGATTTTTTTTTTTTGTAATTCGCCAATGGTTTTAAAGAAACTTTATCAATTTAAAGTTGTACATCATAAAACTTGTTTCAGCTATAAGCTGTCAATTTCGCTAGATTTTTCTTTTAAATGTCTGCTTTGCAGTTGGATCAATTCTTCATCAATAATTTAGTAAAATTTTCCAATAATCATTGATTAATCAACAAGTTTTTTTTCTAAGAATGTCTCAACGATTTATTAAGGTATCTTTTATTTGAAGGCTGGAATGCAGGCCCATGCATTTCTAGAGAAGATGCCAGATCATTTTGTACCAAACGAATAAATTCAAATCAAACTTTTGTTACTATTTCAATAACTTTTGGAGTACAATGAAAAATCCATCAGGGTAAATTATCCGCAAACATATTTTAAAATATGAAATTACTCAAGAGCCATTTTCCTAAAATTACTTTCCTTGGTTATCTCTTTTAACGCAAACGACTTTTTAATATAAAGTAATGAATTATCTTTTAGGTTTTGCAAAGATAATTCTTCATTATCTCATACCTGCTTAAAAACTAGGCGCAAACAATTATATGAAGAATGTTTATACTATATTTGTAAGTTACTTGATATTCAAGTACATTCATATAATTACGGTTCTTCGGATTGCGCAAAGTCACTTAAGTTTGGTACAATGATTTTCCAACCTTAGATGTATTAAACAAAATAAAAACTTTTTTTTTGACAACTGGCTTAGGAAATCTTAAAATTTAAGATTTATATTTATTTTAGATATATATAAACCTACACAACTTTTATTTTCTAATAAATGTAATTCATTAACTTCATTAATGCAATATTATGTTTGTGATTTCTCTTCTTTTTTTTTTCGTTTTAATTTTTTTTTTCTTCAATAAATCATAAACATGTTTTACCTCCTCCTTTTTAAAACCATTTTAGTATGAAATAACAATATATAACATATCACTGCATAACACATTTGCTTTCGATTTGTGTTTTCAATTCGTTCACTTGTGTTTCTATTGAATTTTTCAATTCTGAAAAAAAAATTGAATGGTAAATGAAATGTACATAATTTTTCTGTAACGTCTGTCTTTCTGTAATTATAAGTTTATAAACTATTATAATGTTAAGTTTTTTTGGCAACTTTGAACTTTTGAATATATCGAGATGTCATTGTTTACGCGACGCGATTTTCGTGTATATTGAATGTATAATGAAAAAAGGTTAAATAAAATATTGGATTTCAATATGAAATATATTGGATTTGACAAAATCCACTTGAAACAATTTAATTAAAGAAAAACACGTTCAAATTTTGCTAAAATATAATTTATGGAGTATTAGGAAACAAACGTTTCAATCCATTATAATTTTTTATCCATCTGAAATAAGAACTCTATCTGATTATCAGGAAAAGGTAATTTGGACTTACTTGTAAAGTCATCCAGATCCTCTTGCTCTGCTTCGGCTGCCAGTTCTTCAGGAGTTTTTTTCTTTCTCATTAATGGGTTGGGCTCTTCCTGCGGTGGTTGTTCAACGACCTCTTCTTTCTTCTTTATGTTATACTATTAAAAAAAAGATTATTTAAATTAAAAGGAATATGAATCCTTTATCTATATTTTTATATCTAAAAGCTTATATTTTATGATGATATTAGGAGAAACACAAATCTTTAATAGAGATATTTATTTATGCTTTCCCCTGTCAGATACTTGTTGAATGAATGAAGTCTGAGTGTGTGCATTTTTTTATATTTTTTAAGATGCTCAACACAAAGCGGAACATTTCATTCAGGGTTGTTTCATATTTTTAAAAAAGCACAACATAAAAATAAACCCCGAATAGGTCAGTTAAATAAGTAAATTCACAATAAACTATAATTTGCCACACTAATTCTAATAAAAATATAAAAAATAAAAACTACGTGAAGAATTTAATCAAAAAAAAATATTTGAAGAGAGTATGAAATTAAAAAGAATTAATTATTAAGAATTAGGTATCTAAATTTTTATTTGAAGTTAAAAGAAAAGTTATTCAAGATGGAAAAGTAGCCTAATGTTATATTTAAGTAACGAAAGCATAACACATGTTAGTGACGAATTTATAAGAATTATTTGAAACAATAATCAGTTATTGAAAATATTTTTGATATTATTATTTAGATGATAAATATTATATTGATTGAAGGATGATAGAGCTACCAAAAATCAACTTGACTGCAATAGGGAGAAGTCTGTTTAAGATTAAAGAAAGGTTCTCTCCCTACTAGAGTCAATTTGAACTTCAATAGCTGCAAGTTATAAGTAGTAGCAACCAATATGTCCATCTGATTTTGTTAATGCATAGATTTTAAATTGAATAAAGTTATGAAAACAGTTTGTGTCCAATAAGTGCATTATATGCATAGTGAAGATAACTAAAGCCTAAATATAAATGAGCATTTGTATTTTTTTATTTAAAATGATGGAAGAAATTAAAATTCAAGCTTCGACCTACTTTATCTCTTATTTCCTGTCGCATTTTTTCACGTTCCTCTTCCATCTTGCGGTGTTTTTCTTTACGACGTTCTTCTGCTTCGCGGATGGCCTCTTGTCTTTCTCGTTCTTCTTCTTCTGCCTTCTCCTTGTCTTCATCTGTCGTCTCATCACCACCAACAGCTCCTAAAAATATCAGAAAAAAATAATTCAATGAACATAAGAAATCGAAGTTTTCTAAATACATAATAATTAAACTCATACATATTGAGTGACATGCGAAACAAATAGATGTTCATTAAATTTAGTATAAAAGGCATATTATTTGAATCATAAAAAAAATGTCACAACAATAAATTCTGCAACTTGAATAAGGGAATGTTATCTTTTTTTCCACACAACTTCACCCAACCATGCTTTTAAGATTATGACAAAGTGCCCATGAGAACTCGAACCACTTGAGTGGAAAATGAATTTTCCATTAGACGACTTTTGTTTGAAGGAGAGAAAACGAGTAACAGTTTTGGTTTGAATTGTGGAATTCAGCATAACTATTAAATTAGCAAAAAAAAACTGAATACATAGGATATGTATTTCAACCTTTCTTTATTTAAAAGTTCATTTCTAAAATCACGCAGTCGCAGTCGTACACACTCCAACACTTCCAAACAAACATTGATCGGATTTTGTTATTAAAAACATCGATTTCTTTTAAACAGACATTCTAAACGAAAAATTATTTTTGCAAGACTCTAACGTTAGTTCTTACTAAGAATTTTAAATTAAATTTGAATTACATCTTATGTAGAAAATAAATATATTAAAAAATGATTAAATGATAAAGTGCTTTACCCATTATATTCATTTTCGTAAGGGTGTTAATATATTTATTTTTTCTTTCTTAAAATATACTTTTTTCAATATTTTTAACAATCCATATGCTTTTAAGTTAAATGTTTTTTAAATTCATGTACACAACAAACTGATAGAAAGATTTATGTAGAAAATATAAAAACTGAATGCTTTCAATGTTCATTCACCGAACACTCATAGTGCACTGACGAAAAACTCGTTATAAGGAGAGTATTTTTTCCGCCTTGTCGCTATTTGTCAGAATCCTTTGGATTCCAAAGAGACTATTTCAAAACTTTTCTTTCTTCTTGTTCTTTCATTTCTCTCGTTTTGATATTTACTCAAGTTGCTCATGTTCTAAATTAATAAGAAGTTTTTAAAGCAAAACCACTCCAGAAATAAAAAATGTTTTACAATTAAACAATATGATTGGAAACATATGTAATAAAATACCGAATTGTCCTCAAAATTTTCATTGATGAGAAGTTGGAAGTAAAAATATTTTACTTTGTATATTATTTATATAATGGATATTAACTTGGCTTACTTAGTACATATGTAATTAGGCATTTTATTTTATACTTAAAATAAAGAATTACAATTCAAGTATGTTAAAAACTGTGAGGAGTTTTTAATTATCAAAGGCATTAAAATATATTAATTTATCTTTTTTAAATAAGCAGGAGATATTTCTACCTTATCAGTTATTATAAATTTTATGAAAAATAGATTTAAAATGTTCATATTCCAATTAGTCAGAATATTCAAAACTCATTTCCATATGGAATATTAATTTCTAAGAATCAAAATAAAAAAACCAAGAAAACTTACCCTTCACAGCGCTAAGCTTGTTTCCGACCATTTGTTTTGCTACAAACGCTGCCATCCTTTATTTTTTTTTTACTTTGAACTCTGGTATCAGTAAAACAGATAAATATATTTTTAGTCTGCAAAAAAGAAAAATAGATTCAAATGTATGAAACGGGTTCAAAACTTTAGTAAAATGAGAAAAATGGTCCAAGAAATTCTGAGTCACAGTTCAATCTGTAAACTCAATATGAACCAGTGAAAAAAATCACAGCTCATTACATCTATTTACTATTAGTTTAATACTTGATTCACAAAACCACATTTATCAGAATAAATTTTGTAAATGACAGAAACAGACTATTGATTTTCTTTCTATTAAGAGTAAATGTCTTGAAAGTAAGAAGTAGCATAAAACCAATTTTTATTAAATATTGATCATCAATAGAAACAATAAATAATAAATATTTAGGAATTATTTGCTCAAATTGTATGTTATTTAATAAGTATTTCTTATTAAAAACGTCATCATATTCAATTACGCACTTGCTAAATACTTTTAAATATTCACTTTAAATTTTTTATCTGGTCTGTCAGTTCTTAAAATTTATTTTCATAGTTTTTTTTAAACTTACAAAGGAAAAAAAAACTTCTCATGTTCGAAAATTTCGGCAACGTTGCCAATTTTTTTCGGAACGAATTTTTTTATTTTTTATGACCATTAATTTACGGATTCGTTAAAAAAATTAATGAAATAATATCCAATAATATCCTAATAAATAATTTTGCGACATGTTTCAGAACATTAGATTATTTATACAAAAGCTTACTACTTAAAAAAAGTTCAAACATGTTTCATTACAGGCCTGCTTTTAAAAATATATTCAAATTGCTTAAAATGTGAACATTGAAATTAATTTCACTAATGTTCCTTAAGTACAATTTTTCTTACTCCTTTTTTTTAATTATTATTTTTTCTCATGAAATTTCACCGAAATTTATCTTTACCTGAACTTTCTGATTTAGCTGATATTAGAATCAGATACAAATACCTAAATGTTCTTAGACTTGATATTGCTTATCAAATTCTCGATGTGGTGTGTTGTTGTCTTTTTTTTATTTAATGAAGCCAAACAATTAATCACATGAGTTAATCACACGATTTTTACTGAATTTTTTTTCTAGCACTTTATAAAATTATACATTTTTCCTTTTATGAGCCTGTTATATAACATACGCGTGCGCACTTTATTAATTGGAAATTCTCTTTTCCAACAATTAAATGCTGTGAAGCAATAAAAAGTTGTGAGTGAAAGTTTAATAATAAAGTTTTATTTAAGCTCCAGCAGAAATATTAACACTTAAATTTCTATAGAATGCTTTCATTGCAACTCGAACATAAACTTATCCTTATTTTCCTTCTACTAAGTTTCACTTTGGAACAAACTGCAAAATTTCATCTATGTATATGTCTTCCTTGTATGAGAATTTTTACCAAACTGATACTCTTTATTTTAAGGATACAAAAATCAAATTTTTACTTTGTTTTCCATCTAGAAGAAGTTTGCATGCGCATAAAATTGAACAGAATTCCAATAGCATTTTCATGTGTTGTTTATATTATTTTTACTTAAACAATCCTTATCTCATATTTATCCTATTGCCTTCATTATTTTCTTTAAAGAGAGTGCTCAATTATCTAACTTTATTTTATTGGCTAAATGTCTTTCATTTCTGATCATTGGAAGCAGCTGCAAAACCCAGACCAAATATAATCCACCCACGCAACCTATAATTCAGCCTGTTGAAACAAGGGGGCGCTGACCCTGAAACAGCAGTTTTTGCAAGCATTTCCATTGAAAAGGAAACCAGTAATTTTTATTGTTCGAGTGAATGAAGAATTACAAAAATGATCGACACAACCCGTTCAATCTTTAATTAATCATCAATTAAGATTTGACAATTCAGTTACTGGAAGCTTTCAACATTTTGATTTTATTTGTTGAAAAAATTATGTTTAAGAAATTTTCATAATTTTCGATTATCAATGATAACTGATACATGAGTGAGTAGTTCAAGCTACATATAACAAACTGAAATCATTAAAAAGACGTGTTTAAGCTGTTGAAATGATAATTAGAATTTTCTTAAAGTTGAAAAATGAAATAACATTTGAAGTTCAATCTTGAATGAAAATTTTCGAGAAGAACTTTTCAAGAATTTGAAGAAATTGTTTTTTGAATTTCAATGCAATAGGTACTATTTAATAAATATATAAACATTTATAAAGATTTGTGAAAAACACTTCTTTATTCTGACAAAAAAAAAGATTACCCAACAGAACAGAAGCTATTTATTTAAAAGTATCTCGAATATGTTCATAAGCAAGTTTAATCAGAAACTGAAACTTTTTGTTATTCCAATGATTAAGTTCAGGCGATGTTGTGAAAATATCAATAGGTGGTAATGTATTTTCAATTTCACCGTCTAGCATGTAGCACAATTCGACAAGTTTAAAAAACAACGTTTCAACAATTCTGTCTAGAGGTGCCTCAATGTCGATCTTTAACCAATCGTCACGTTCGATTGCTTCTGACCAAATCTTATTACGATACTCAAGTGAATCATCCACATAAGCCAGTAATTCAAAAGCTTTGCGAAATTCAATTTCTGTAGCATTTTTATACTCCCTTGAAATGTGAAGCTCAATCATCTGTCCTGGTTGCAATACTCGCATGTTTTTTGCATCGAAACCGAGATCAGTGAGGATTTGCTTGTCAATCTGGTTCTGATGTTCAATCAAATGTAATTCCTTGGTGATGTCCTTGATTTGTTGACTCATGTCCATTTCAGCGGCATATGCTGAAAGTTTTGCTAATGACAATTTTGTCTGGAAAAAGAAGAAATTAATCATTGAAAAATTTATCATAACAAACCAAAATATCACTCACTTTTTTCCTTGCCACAAGTTCAGTTTCATTTAATCCGAGATCAGCAAGAACATTCGAAGATTTGTTCATCTCACCATTGAAGATCAATTGAATCCAAGCAAGAGATGGATGATTATTCAAGAACTTTGCTAATTCCACTTGATTATTTCGGAATCTTTCAAAGAGATCTCCTTGCTTGTTTTGTTTCATATGCCAATTGATTGCAAACTGAGAGAAATTAAGTTGCTTGAATCTTTCAATATATTCGTCAAGACGTTGTTGATTTTCAGTTCGATCACAAATGATGACAAGTGTTTGGAAATCGTAATATTTTTCAGCTAATTTTGCTGCCAACTCATATTGTTCATCTTCAACTAAGGGATAAATGAGGTCGAATCTTTGTGACTCGTATTGATGTTGAAGAACATTTAGCTTCTCTTGATTATTTCTGATGCTTGCCAAATAATTTCGACGACCGTCAAGAACGAAATCGATAAGTTCAGTCATCTGCTGGTAATGTTTAAATTTGTATTCAGTTTCACCATTGAGCCTGATTCCATGTTGAAGTGTCAACTGAATTAACTGTAATATGCTATCGCGTAAGCCTTCTTCATCACTTGCTGCTGTCCATGGTAAATATTCAAACAATTCATTGTTCACTGGTTTGTATAATCCAATGTGTTTCTCCCGGAATTTAATAATTTCTTGCAGCGTTTGCAAAACCATTTTATTGACCTCAATAATTGAATTCTGAATATGATTATTGGGTATATCTTCTTGTTGTACTAATTTTTCAATTATCTCGTTGAATTTTTTAAAGATTTCTTGAATTTTCGTGATTTTTGTGAAGAAAACGTCTTGATTTGTAAGATTTCCATGTGCTTCCAAACGATTTTCATTCAGAACCATTTCAATAGCTTCATCTGTGATTCTTGCATGTGCTTGTTGTTGACATTTAAACGAAATTGCAGCAACAATCCTCTCATTGATATCAGAGAGAAGGAAAACTGTTGAGCGTACATTTCCTTTCTCTGATAATGCCATCAAACGACTCCATAGTCCAGTTCCATGAAGAAACTCAACAAACTTTATCATACAAAAGTTTTTCTCACGAAGTTGTTGAAGTATTTGCATTGATGATGAGCTTCCGAGTGGCGCTGATGAGTTACGATTAAATGCTTCACTTTCCCATCTTGGATCAGCAGCTGGCAAATCTTCAGCCAAATCTTTTGCAATTGTAACAACAATTTCATCCAATTTGCTGTCAATTTTTGGCGATTCATCTTTAAACATTTCATTGATGATAGAATGACACATTGCGCTATTTCTTTTGAGATGATAAATGAAAGCTGCTTTAAATTGACTAACAGCATCTTTATTTCGTTCACAAATATCTTCTGGATCAAGCTCGTACATTGTTAGATTGCCAATGTTTGTTGTTGATGGAGAAAGAAGGTTTGAGGTTTCATCCGTAATCAATGAAGCTTTTGGACTAAAGACTTCACTCATGATTGAAACGTTAGTCATTGAAACGTTCACTGAACTGTTCAATAATTCTGGCTCAAAATCTGATGGCGTGACACAAACAACTCCATGAAGTTTTGAGAAGAAAAGCGGGAGTCCTCCAATGTTTTCAGCGGCAATTAAACGATCATCATGAGTATGAAATTCAATCTTCTCAACGTCATCTGATGGCGGTTGTAATGGCTGATTGCTTTGAATGATGACAGGTAAAATCATTCGTTCACTGTAAATGTAAGCAATTCCACGAACGATGATAAATTTGAAATTACTGAAAAGATTTGTTTGCTGATGGCTGAAGAATGTTTTGAAACGTAAAAGTTGGAAATCTTTAAGTTGAAATCCATCTGATTCAGCAACAATTGTGACTAAACATTAGAAAAATAAATAAATTTAAATGAAAATAAACAGACAAGAAATTTTCTTACTCAATGACATGTAGACTTGAGGTGAAAGTGCAGGATTAGCCGCTGCGGCTAGTATCATCACACCACGATCAATCGTTTGCATATCGAGCATCCACGAATCAATTGTTTCGTTAATATTTCGGTTACTCCACATTTTTAAACGGTAAAAGTCACGAATTTTCTTTGAAATTTCTTGATCCTCGTAGAGAAAAGTTTCATTTGTATTCGGAGAAAAAAGCCAACGTTGAATGAAATGCTCAGACAAAATTGAAATATGATAATCTGTAGAATTGATAGCTTCATATGCTATTTTAATGAGTTTATTTTCGCTGTCTTGGTTGCTGTTCATTCCAATAATTATGCTCGCAAATTTTTTTCCAAATCCTCCAAAAAAACCGGAAGGAGGCTTTACATTTCGATGGATAATTCGTTGACGACCATTTTGAAGACGAATTTGAAGCAGAACCAGATTACATGTTGTTGTGACCATCAAATATCCCTGGGGACTTATACTTGTGAGTTGATCAAATTCTTGTCCTTCCATTATTCCATTTTCGTCGATAGACGTACTGTTGGTTATAGACGGCCAGTATCTGACATCACCTGTTGTTGAAACTGCTAAGCATGCTGTTGCTTGACTACCCTCAGGAACAAAAACTGTTATCAATCTTGCCTTATGACCGATATCGCAATGAGGCAGAGTAAGCTCGCGACATTGGCTTGCAGTGTTTCGGTTAGATTGTGTTTTTGTTAATCCTATTGCTGAAGATGTTCCTTGAAAACGCGATGGACCTTTGTACTGCCAAATTAAAAGCTTTCTCCCACTTACAGCCCATGCCCAACCATTTTTAGAATAATTAACAGACACAGCGGCATTTTTGTCACTAAATGTTAACAGTTCTGTAACCTTCACTGGAACCGCATTGCCATAAGATTCCAATATGTTGAACTCTGATCTTGCAATTATTTGCATTGTTGATGCATTGGATCTTCCTGATAGACTGACACTTGAAATAAAATAAAACGAAGAGTGCATGAGTTTTAAATATTGAGGATAAATTTAAAAATTTACTTCTTTCGACTTGATGTGCCAAAAATTGATTTTCTTGTGTTTTTTGATTTAGGCGTTCCATGTGCTGATAAATTTTGTCTTGAATTGGCTGGAGAATTCATTATACTTAGATGAGATATTTGTGAATATTTTATGTGAAATTGTTAAAATTGTAATTTTTGCGGCTTTTTATGTACTAAAACAGGGCTTCGATCGAACCTAAATTATTGCTAAAATCAGGGGTAAAATATGCTAAATTTTTTGTTGATGGTTGTTCACAAACAAAACCAAAACAAAACGAAAAGTCTTAAACTTTCAATATTATCAATATAACAAATAAGTTAATTAATCTTGAAGAAGTTGCGAAATGCCAAAAATCATATCAAAGTCGATAGTTTGCTCAGATTCCTCAAAAGATGATCTAAAACATGAATACCAGGAAGAAAAACTTAAAACATTTTATTGTAAGTTGCAAAGATTTTTTTTATTGTTTAGTTATTTATAAATTTTAACATGTTCTGATTTAAAGGTATATGTGGACAATTATCTTTGATTGGAAATGTCATACTTGAAAGACTTCCTCTTAGAAAAGTTGATGGGGCTCGTGTTTTAGATCCAAAAATTAACGCACACAAAATCACAACAGCAGAACATCCAGAAAAGATATACATAAAACGGGAAGAAGGAATTGAAGTACAGAAACGATATAATTGCAAAAAGTGTTCTCTTCCTCTATTTTATCGTTGCGACAATCCCTCCATTACCTTCATAATTTCAAAATCACTTCGAGGAAAAGCTGACATCACTGATGCTCGTCAAATCCAAGGACAACAAAGCAAAATCTTCATCAAAAAGCAAACGAAAAATATGGGAAAATTCTCATCAGTCACCGTCAGTACAATAGAGGATGAAGAAGATGAGATCGCTGAAAAAGAAATTGCTGATAGTTTTGCTGCAAACGCTAAAATAATTGAAAAACAATTAGAAAGGCGAATGGCCAAGAAACTTCAGAGTTCTGAAGCAGAAGAGTATACGAGTAAAGCTAAGAAGCCTCGAGGAACATTACTCTAAGAGTTATGCTTAATTAAATTTTCAATATTATTTTATAAGTTTGAAATAAAGAAAATCATTTATTTTTTATCTTATGCGTTGTTTTCTTGAAAACGATTTAAAAAATAAAATTTCTAATCATTACTTTCAAAGTTACTTAAATCATAGAGGAAAGTACGAGATACAAGACAATCAGCTGGTTGGGGTGTGATACCTATAAGAATATCTGCATGACCGTAGAATTCTTCTTTTAATGAAATGACAATTGTCTGAAGGTCGTGTTGTTCTTTTATGTATTTTGCAACTTTTCCAATATTTGTATTGTCCAAAGCAGCATCAATCTCATCAAGTACAAAGAAGGGTGCAGGCTGATAGCTGTGAATGGCAAAAAGCAAAGCCAAGGCTGCAATTGTTTTCTCACCGCCACTAAGATTGCTCATTGGCTGAAAACGTTTACCCGGTGCGACACAATTATAGTTAATACCATCAAGATAAGATTCTTCTGGATTATCAGGATTCAGAAATGCTTGAGCAGCGTCATTACGTGACAATGCTTTGTAAATTCCGTCAATTGCTTCAGAGATATGATTCAAGCATTTGTTGAATCGAGTAATTCGTTCATTCTTTACCTTCTCAAAAGAGGCTTTCGCTTTTTTAGCTTTACGTTTGGCATTCTCAAATTCTTCATTTGTTGTTTGAATCTTCTCAGTAACAGCATCAAGTTTCTGCATCGCTTTCATATTTGGTGTTTGAATTTTCTCCAATGTATCAAGTTTTTGTTGAAGTTCCTTATTTAAATTGTCACCAGCTTTCTTAACTTGATCTACTTCGTCAATATCTTTTAAATTGCGAGGTAATGAATGATAATCAATTTGGATTTCATTTACTTTCGATTGCATTTGTGTTGATATAGATGCTGATGAGGGTTGATCGCTCTCCTGCTCTTGAAGTATATCATCCAAATCTCCTTTCAACATTGGAACAGAAATGTCGTCCATTTTACATGATCGAAGAATATTCAAACGTTCATTTCGTTTTGTTTCGATTTTGTTTTCAAATGATGAGATTTGATGAGAGATTGATGCAAGTTCCTTAGCATGTGAAGCGACATCACGTCGAGCTTTTGCTGTTTCTTCTTCCATTTCGTCAACCATTTTCTTCTTATTTTGCCGATCCAACTTCAGAGCTTCAATCTTTTCCTTATCTTTCTCAATGTCATCTCGATGTCGCTTTTCAGCTTGTTTCAACGACTCTAAGGAATCTTCATCGTCTTGAACTGCACGCTCCCATCTCATTACATTTTTAGATGTGTCTTTACTTCGTTCAAAATCAAGATTTGTATTAATACGATCAATTTGTTGGACAAACTCTGCCATTTTCTTTTCACGTTCTTGTTGTAAAACCAAGTCACGATCAATGTACTGACGAATATTGGCGACACCAATTTTCTTACAGAATCCCTTGAAATATTCATCTTCAACAGTGTTCATTTTCCCTTTGATTTCCTGAATTTTCGCGTCACGGTTCAACATACGGCGTTCAATTTCACTTACATTCGGCCCAATAAGATCTAAATCCTTTTGAAGTTCGGCAATCTTACGATCGTAATCGCGAATAATCTTCTCACTTCCTGACAAATCATTTTTACTGTATTTTAAACGATTTTCAATACCTTTGATCTGAGATTCAATTGTTGTAAGTTCACTTTGCTTTCGAGTCTTCTTAGTGACTTCTTTCAACTCTTCATTCAGTTTTTCTTTTTGTAGTTTCAATGTATTCATGTGTTTCTCATCCCATCGTTTTGCTTTTCGTGCTAAATCATGACTTCCACCAGAAATAATTCCAGATTTCTGATAGAATGTCCCGTCAAGAGCAAGTGCATCATAACGACTTCGATCCATTTCATAGGCAACTTTCATTGCGTCTTCTGGCGTTTCACACACAAGTGCATTATTAGTTGCAAAAAGAACGGCTCTTTCAATGTCAGGAGGATCAAAACGAAGAACGTCGTAAATGAGGTGAACTCCCTTTGGATTTTGAATGTTTCTATAAAATGAAAAAGAATTAAAACATGTTGCATGATATTTTTTTTTGTCTTTACCTCAATCGTTCCTTTAAAGGCTTGGCTTGAAGATAATCAAGTGGTAGAAAAGTTTCCACTTCAAGTTTCTGATCCTTTAACATTTGAATACATTTCCTTGCTGTTTTTTCTGTGTCAACAATAATAGCTTCCATGTATTTCCCCAGAACTTTCGTAACAGCGACATTATATCGCTTGTTTGTTGGCTGACACATATTGATCATTCGATCATAAACACCAGGAATTTCTCGTTTAAAAAGTTCCACAACTTCTTGTTTCTTTTTACGACGAGCGTCTTCATGTTTGTCATTCTTAGCGTCCCCTTTTAAATGAATAATAAATAACTAATAAATAACCAATTATAATTGAAATTAACTCACCAAGTTGATCGTTTACATCTAAAATTTCACGTTGCAGTTCAAGTTGACGTTCGCGTGATGATCCTACATCCTTACTCAACTCATCTTTGTTCCGCATTTGTTCAGCAAGTTGAGCTTCACTTGATTTTATATGTTCGATAAGCTTTTCTTTTCTTTTGATTGCTTCTTCCTTTTCACTGCTGTACTTCTTAAAAGTCTCTTCAAGTTGTGTCTTCTTGTTCACTTCAGAATCGAGTAAATCTTGATCTGATTTTTGCTCGCGATTTATGGAGTCAAGTTTTGCCAGATATTTTGCTGATTTAAGATCTGCTTGTTGCTTCAAGTTGTCATATTCTTTCAAAAAATCTTGTTCTAAGTGAATGTTACTGCCACGTTTTTTGGAGTCAAGAGCTACCTCCGATTCAAATTTTTTCTTCTTTTCGTTAATTATTTTGAGTTCGTCTTCCAATTTCTTGATATCAGCTTGATGAGCTTCATCAGCTTTTTTTGCCTGCTCCAGAGTCTTGACAGCTCCATCGAGTTTTTTATGGGTATGAGCAACTTTCTCTTTTGCTTTTATATAAAGTGGATGCTTTTTATTCATTTCACTTTCAGCTTCTCGAATATCTTGTTCAATCTTTGCAAGATCTCGACTAATTTTTCCACTGTCTTTCTTTTTTTCCCGTAAAACCTCGTCAGCATTTCCTTTTCTGTCTTCGATCTTTTTGTGCTCATTTTGCTTAGCATTTAAATCATCAATATGACGCTGGATCTCTTTCTCATTGTGGTACAGTTTGTACAATTGATAGATTACCTGCTTCTCAGAGTATTCTTCACGTAATCGAGCATATCGATCAGCTTCTTGTTTCTCTAATTTTGCTTCTTTTCTTTCAGCTGCAACTCCTTTTTTCTTCTGGTATGTAAATTGTGTTTCTTCTTCAGCGCTCATCATCTCTTGCTTGAGTGTGTTGTATTCTTCTCTTAATAGTCCAGATCCACTAATTTCTTCAAACAACTGAGTTCGTTCCTTCGCATTCTTCATCGCAATATTTTCAACAGCACCTTGAAAAACTAAAAAGTTTTTTGCTTTTACATTAATTCCGAGCTTTTCCAATTCAGACAAATATGCGTTACTACCAACGCTTTGTCCATTGATCTTATAATCAGATGAAGATCCAGAGACGCTCCTTTGAAAGCTTATCATGTTTCCATCATTGAGAAGAAATCTCGCTGTTACCGAAGCACTGAAAATATTCATATTTCATGAAATTGAAGCTTAATACTATAATTAATAAACTGACTGTCTTGAAATCGGGCGACCAATTGAAGCTCCATGAATCAAGTCGCTGAGTTTACGCACTCTTAGTGAGTTTGTTTTTTCTCCCATGACGAATGAAATCGCGTCCATAAAGTTTGATTTACCTAAAATTGTAAATATTTATATTAATATAATATAATTGTGGATCACACTTAAGACTTACCGCTTCCATTAGGTCCAATAACAGCTGAAAATTGTTTAAGTGGTCCGATCTTTATATTACCGCGATAACTCTTGAAATTATCTATTTCTATGTACTGGAGGAATGAATTTATTTTTTCCATTATGGTGATGATTACTTGTTATTAATCTATGGCTTTTTTATCAGCCTTATACGCAAGATTTTAAATTTTTTAATAGACGCTTTTATTTTTTCCTTTGTGCTAAAATTTTTGTTCTAAAAAATGCTAAAAAATATTGCTAAAACATTTTCGAAAAGCGCCAAAAAAAATCAAAATTGTTTATAAATTTCTTTCATTGATTGTTTTATAAATATTTTGTTGTTACTAAGAAAATATGGATAAAAGAAAGCTTTCCACACCTACGAAAATATGTCGATATAATTCTATGTGCTTTCGATTGAATCCACTTCATTTTGATGAATTTCGACATCCCCATTGTAAGTACTCTTTATCATCCGTCTACTTAAATTTTATGGGGTAATTTTCTATTCTATTCAACATAACATAGTGGAAGCAATTATTGAGAAAGGAATTAGCTCCATCACTGGAGAATACGATATCCCAGATGATTGTCAAAAGGATAAAGTTATTGATCAATTGGAAATCCTAAAATCTAAGCTAGGAAATATTCGTCAACCTCCAGAGAAAATGGCAAAGAATTCAAAATCTCCTGATTTTGCCATATCAAAGAAGACGACAAATGTGGTTTCAATTGAACCCCCAAAAAATCAACATCAAAATTCAAGTTCTTCACAATGTGTTCCATCAACATCATCAAGTCTTCAAAACAAGCTTGATTCTACTGATTATTTTAAAGAAAGAGCAGCAATATTTAAAAGTAAGGATTCTGAAGAGATGAAAGCAACGACACCTACAATAGGTGTAAAAATTGATCAAAACGATGAAAGACTGGAAGCTGCAATTCGTCAATATCTTCCTGTCGTACTCCCGAAAGGTCAAATGGCAGATAAGCTTAAGAAAGCATCTCCTTATAATATGTTTTTAACAACAGTTTCTGCTGCGCCTGAAACTCACTCAGAGGCACTGTCAGTGACTTTCCAAGAATTGTTAGATCCGTCTCTTGGTGAACTTGAATGCTCAGTGCAATTCAATTTTATGGTTGACATTGGATGGTTGCTTGCTCAATACATTTTTGCAAAATGCAGTAGTCAACCACTTCTGATATTATATGGTGAAGAAGAACAAACATTGAGGGATATCAATAAGAAGCGATCAAATGTCACATCAATTAAAGTTAACATACCAACACCTATCGGTGTTCATCACACAAAAATGATGTTGCTATTTTATAAAGACAAATCAATGCGTGTCGTTGTATCAACAGCTAATTTGTATGAAGATGACTGGAATAATCGCACACAAGGATTGTGGATTAGTGAAAGACTTCCGGCATTAGATGAAGATGTATCATATACATCTCATGGTGAAAGTGTCACAAAATTTCGTGAAGATTTGACGCGATATTTAGTTTGTTACAATATCCCGAAGCTTCAACCGTTCATAGCGAAAATACGAAAGACTGACTTTAGTTCAGTAAATGTGTTCTTTGTATCTTCAGTTCCTGGCACACATCGCGATTCGGGAAAAGGCATTCATTTTGGTCATTTGAGATTAGCATCATTATTGAGTGAATATAGTGCCCCTGTCGACGATTCGAATCCTATTATTCTACAAGCTTCGTCAATTGGAAGTCTTGGAACCTCAGTAGCAGCTTATCTTGGTGGGGAAATTGCTTCGTCATTTAAAAGAGATTCAGCCCCGATTGGACTTCGTCGAGTACCCAAAGTAAAATTCATTTATCCGTCTTTGACAAATGTATTAATGTCGCACGATGGAATTGCTGGAGGTGGTTGCTTACCTTACGATGGAAGAACTCACGCTAAGCAGCTTTGGCTGAATGAACATCTTTATCAATGGCGTGCAAGTACAAGAAATCGTAATCATGCAATGCCACATATTAAAACTTACTGTCGCTTTTCTGAACGCGGATTGTACTGGTTTGTTTTGACATCAGCAAATGTTTCAAGAAGTGCTTGGGGAGTTCTAAATAAAAGCAACAAAACCCTAAATCCGTCGTTAAGAATAAACTCATTTGAAGCTGGTGTTGTTTTCTTTCCACGAATTATTTTGAAGAAAGATCGCTTTCCAATCCATGAAATGCAACAAAAAGATGAAGATCCTATTTTTAAACTTCCCTATGACATTCCACTAGTTTCTTATGCTAAAGACGACGTTCCATATTGCGCCGAATATTTAAAAGATTATCTCGCTAAATATGGATCTTAATAATTTATCAACTTAAAATCGATGTATTTTCTTTCTTTGATTTAATTGCAAAAGTATTTACATATGTGCATCTGTTCGCAGTTGATATTAAATTATTCATGAAATAAATAATACTTTTCTTCATGCTTCTCCCGAGGCTAACATTTTTTTAATTTTCATTGAAATGTTTCCGTTCGTATTGATTAATGAATGCATTCTATAGCATTAATCTGATGAATTCTTATTCGACTCGAATATATTTTCTGTAATTCTGCAACATTGTAAAGAGAGAAGAGAAAAATATTTATTTTTGTAAGTGATGAAGCTTTGGACATTTGTTATAAAGTGCAGAACATTAATTTGCACACTAAAATAAACTTCATAATACATTTCATTTCCGATATTTATTTTTTTCTTTCTGTGGCTTCAACTTAATTGAATATTAATTGTGCCGTTTTTATTGCTTTCATACATTAAAATTTACATACAAAAATACATGTTGAGTTATTTGATTAGAGTTGCATCATAAATAACGTGCGTTGAGAGAAAATGAAAAATTGCTTTGATCGTGATCAATGAGGTTTGTTGAGATTAAAAGAAAGCCGAACAATATTCTTTCATCTCTCAAAATTCATGGGCGGTCATGTCATTAAAATCGAAGCTTTTACTTTCGGAAAAGCTTCCAATAAAAAAAATCTAAATAAATTTCGTTGTGCATTGTGTGGGCATGATTGTTTTGAAATTTTTTCAAAGAATTTCATTTGGATATATTCAGCATCTTAGTAAGTGAGTAAAGAAGTAAAAATATCGTTTCGAAGCGTGCATTTAATTATGGTATTTACAGTAGAAGGAATCCAAAAAATGCGTGATACCGCAATATAAAAAAGGCTTTTAAATTTTGTTTTTTGCGCAATTTTATATTTTTATCGTAGCTACACAAAGCCCATAAAAAGATTTCAGTGGAAATGTGCGTAGGAAAAATTCAAAGGAATTTGTTTTTCACTTCCAATCCAATTATTGGTCCTAACAAATTTTGAAGAAAGGAAACCAATTCTAGCTTCAATTTTACCAGGGTTTTATTCCCGTGTAATGTTTTTGTGCTGATGTTTTTCGTGGAGATTTAAAGTTCATCGTCAAAGTGAAAAGAAATAAACTTTATAACAAGAATATTATTTGATGAAAGAAAACCACAATTCCCTTGTAAACGGATATTTCGCTTATCAAATAATTTCCAAAAACAAAATGAAAAAGAAGATATTTTTGGACCTAAACTAGGGTTTAAGAGGAGACAGAAGCTCAAATGATAAAAGATTTTTTTATCAGATTATTTGTGTTTACTTTGTTACCCAAAACGAAAGCAAAAAGCTAAAAAAAGCCCCTTGGAGTTCGAGGAGCACAAAAACTTTTATTTCTCAGCTTCTTCTTACTTTCACTTCCGAAAGAGAATTTTAATTAAAAGAAGTTTATGTCTCAATTTCAAAATGCTCGAGCCTTTCTTTAGAAATGTTAGATAAAAAATTTGCATGATTTTTTTGCGATGTGAACAGGATGCCTAGAAGGAATGACTTGATTCAAAAATAAATCTTACCTCATTCTGTTAATAGTTGAATGAAGGTTTCTTGTTTAGGTAATAGAAAATAACAATGATAAAAAAAATTTGTTTTTACTTTGATTTTCGAATTTGACACCTACATTTAATGTTAAGTATAGCATAGAGATAACAAAAAATCATGAAAAATCATTTTCACCTTTTTTCACCCCCATTGAAGCGAATTTTATTTACTGTTTTTTTACATCTTCCGCCCTGTTGCTGATCTCAATTTCCTTCATTGCAAAGAATTTGTCAAACTCATAACATGCCAATCATCTCCTAGCTACATACCTATTTACTTTCATATCTATAAAGCGAAAAGAAGACTTGAGAATTTATAACATTATTTGATTTTCAGAATATTGAAGCATCTTAAATATTTTAACGTTGGTTGGTTGACCTGGAAATAAGTTATTTATAAAAATATATTTCGATGTCAAGCCATCAAAATAAAACACAAAACTTTATATTTTTTTATTTTACAAAGTTTTTATTCCGTTCAATAATTTCATTTTTTTGTTTGATCTTATCTTTCCATTTTTATCAATAAAAATTTTACACAGAAACATTGTATTTGTTCGCAAACTCAAGATAAATTTTGATACGAAACATTAAACAAAAAAAAAAGAATCTTAATAAGAACTTAGAAGCACTAACTATAACTAGTTACATTCATAATAAATATGAGGTAGATTTTCATAATTACGAAAGATTATTAATTGAAAAGCACAAAATCATAATGAAAAAACGTATTTCTCAAACAAACTAAAAGCGGAAGGGACTTCCAAAGTGTTTGTTCCTTCATCTTATTTTTTCAATTTAATTTTCTTGTTTTTGTTTTGTTTTCCATTTGTGAGGTACATTTATTAATCAGAATTTTTATTCTTAATTTCAAAGTCATGAATGTGCACAGTAATATTTTTTGGAATGTGTAAATTGAACTGATCGATAATTTTGTAGCTGTTTAGTGGAAATTTTAGAACTCTCTTGTTAAAAATATTTGTTAATTTTGTGGAGCTTAACTGATTTGAAACCATCTAGTTATGAGAGTATTTTTAATAAAGAAGAGAATAGGATGAACGTCAAAAATAAAAAAAGAAAATAAGAAAATAAATCATGAATGACGGACATTTGAGATTCTTTGCTTGAAAATAAAATTAGAGAGCTTTAGAGATTGTGACGAAGAAAAAGTTTGTAATTTATTAAAGAAACTAAGTGAGTTTGATTTTTGATTAGTTTTGAGTTGAACTTCACGTTCTATTTTATCAGCCAAATATTTTTGAAAAATAAATATAAGAGAATTTATCTTTGCAACTCAAATTCACTACGATTGCAGTATTTAAATATTCTCTGTAAAGAATTCAACAATTTTTGAAATATTTTTGTTTCACATGAGTAAAAAAGGAGAAGAAATAATAGCAATATTTACAACTAGGCTGTCCAGACATTGAGATTTCAAAGATATGCATAGCCTACTTGTATGTACTGTGGAATGCGAATGTTCACTCTGCAAATACTTAAATATTGCACTATTTCAGATCTTTGAATGAAGGAAAATTTAACGAAAATTCTTCACCGCTCCCAAATATTTTTGTCAGATTCAAAGATTTCCATCAACACTGGATTTTTACATACATCTTGTTTACATCCTCACATTTATCATGTGTGTAAGATAATGGATTAGATAAATTAAAAACACGTTAAATGCATATTTTTTTTTCCGAAACATTCATGATTCTCAATGTAATTTCCTTAGCATTCCTTTCTTTTCTCAAAGTTTTCATTGTTTTTGTACATGCAAGGCACGTGAATACGTTTTACCAAATAGTTTTTTTGTGTTAAAATTATGTCCTTAGCATATATTTTCTTCTTTATTCATGTTTCAATTATAAAAAAAAATTCTTAGAAGAATTTATTTTAGATGCTTACAATATTTCCAGTTTTCATTTTTCATTATAACAAATTAAACTCTATTTTGCCCTCTGTCAAGCTCAAACTGTTGAATGACAATCTCTTTCAGCATTCTTGAATATAAGTATTTATGTGTATAGATATTACTATTTATGTTTTAATTAGGTGAAATCAGGTACATTAATTCATCTTCTGTAATGTCAAAAACTATTTTTTTTCGTCTTTAATTTTCTCTTCATTGAATTAAATATAAAAAAGTTATTAGAAAAACCAAAAATTAGATATTAAAGCAAAACATTTTATGTTGTTCCTGATAGAATTACTATTCGGGTAGAGCTACCCATAAACAAATCTAAAATTAATTTTTCATAATAAGAAATTTCGTGTTGACAAAATTTAATTCAGATTTTCAGTTTCACATTTGATGAACAGCTCAGATCAATTGAAAAAAGAATGTTTTAAATGGTTTTAAATTGTAGCTTATTAAACAAATGTTCATAATCTTTTGATATACGAGTAAAAGTTTTTTAAGAAAATAACACTTTCTTGCAATTATCAAATCAAGACAGCTGAAAAATATTTGAGCAACGCACGCAAGGATTTCAGAATAATTGTAAGCTTTTATAAAGGATTTTTTTGCACTTCTTTTTTTTGTTCATCCTAAGTATTGATTGATTTTATTAAACAGAAGGAATGACAAAACGATTATTTTACTTAAATAAAGGAGATTGCTATTAATTTTTTTGTTTTTTTTTGGGATTCCTTTTTAGGTTTATTACTGAAATCATGAATCTTATTCTCTCACTAAGGTACTGTGTTCTTGGTTGCAATATAATATTTGTTCTATCATACCTTGCAATGATTACTCTTTAAAATGTACTGTTCTATTGGACTATTAAATGTTTGTTCATAGTTAAGATTATTTATTTGCTTTTATCTTCTAAAAATTTGAAGAAGTGTCTACTCGCTTGCAGTGACAATTATAAATGAAACAGAAATTATTTGTGTTAAACTCTTTGGCAATGTGTATTTGAAAAATCTGAAACCCGTTAGCTGATTCATTAAATTAAGTTTTCTAAATATTTTCTCTTATAATGACGAAATGAAATGATGACGATAACCATTTACAAGATTCATACAACGGAAGGAAATATATGTATATATATATATATATGATGATGAGAATAAGAAGAAAAATTGTACATATTTTAAATATCTCAAGGGATACAAATTTATATCTTCTTGTTTGTGTACATTTAAATAATTGATTGACAGTGAGACCAAGTTTATAATATGTTTAAATGAAAAAGAAATCGCCAAAAAGAATTCATAATCTTTTGTTGTCATTTGGGAAAAAGATCTTCAGTAATTGATATCTTAAAACATCGCTCCATTATTCGTTTACGTCCAAATCTAAAAACTATTAATAAGTATTTAGTTAATGTATTACAAACAGAGAAGACATAAAGAAATAAATCGTTTTGCTTGAATTTTTTCTTCTGCTTTTGTTGTTTATATTTCTACATAATATGTAGTAACATATAAAGAGTGTTTATAGCCTTACACTTGGTCACGCGTTTTGAATATTTCAAATCTTCTATATCTTATTTAAATGAACGATAAATAAGTTAATAGCCTCCATTATCATCAGCATTTTATCATATCCCGTTTCATCAACGATAAAAAGTATTTCATATCAATAAAATATTTACAAAGATTTTTTCATTACTTTGACATGAAATAAAATATCAAAAAAATAATATATGTATAGTGAACTCTCGTTATAATTAACTCTGAAGGGACCGAAAAAAATAGAATTATAACGAGAAAATTTTGTTCCCGTTTTTTTTCGAAATAATTTTCGAAACGTTAATTATAACGAGAGAAAAATTATAACGAGAGTCCACTGTATAGATATAAAAAAATATAAATTGTGTAAAGTTTTGTCTGATTCCATGAATTATGAATATAATAAAAGAAAAACAAACTCGTGAGTGACGTACGTTTACGACTGTCATGGCTATCTTAAAAACAAAATATTGTTTTTATTTTTATCCGTTGGGACCGACAAGGGGACGACGAAAGTCCCACGTCATTGGATGTAAAGGTTTGCTGCTTAAATTACTATCATTTAAATCGTATTCTTGTAAGTTTTCTTCGGAATCTTCTTCTTCGTTATCGGTTTCTATGCTACTTGACTTGCCTATTTTACTTCTATCGTTGCCATTGACATTGGCATTGACGTTATTATTGTAACCGTTGCTGTTTATACCGTTACATAAATTCATGTCGATAAGCTGACGGTGACTGTCAAAGGAAGATGAAGTCGACGAGGTGTTTTGATCATTTTCAGAAGACTAATTAAGTTGAAGAAAAAAATAAATAAAAAGTGAACATTTACATTCATTCATTTATCCATTAAAACTAATAAGTCAATATCGTGTTACATTAGGTATCTAAACCATAAGGATATTCTAATAAGAAAGAAAAAAAAGCTTACCTGAAAGCTTTTGTGTGGACTCAAATTTCCATTAGCTCTTGGTAAACTAGCTTTTAAACTTTCCTGCTCCGTCATTGCAGATGTCTTTGAATTAAACGTGGTTGAAAACTTATTCGAATTTGCATCGTCTATTGGTAACATAATGGCATTTTCATCACATTTTATCAGCGGCAATTCAATGCACATTTGATCGATTGAGTCGTCAGTTGGTGTTGATGTACGCAGGATTTTCTGATTCTCGTTGACATTTAATCCGCTATTCGAAGCACTCTCTGCTTTAGTCACGTTATCTTTGCCGTTAGCAATGTGGGATGATGGAATGAGGGTTTGCATTTCATACATATCATCTCCGCGAATATTTTCAGTGAGTGGTGCTGTTGAAGGTGGAAATGAAGATTGTTCGCTTGTATTGTTAATAGCATTATTATTTTTGCAGTATCGATGTCGTCGACATAAAATATAAGAGATTAAGAATCCTGTCAAGATAATCAACACGAGAATAATTGAAAAAATCATAAACAAGTCTAGATAAAGTATTGGTTTTTGTTTTTCATTTCCAATCATATTTGTTGGCAAAATTCCCCATTTATCTGGATTAATAATCAACGGATAGCCGAGACCTGCAACTCCGAATGCTTTCACTGTTATGTTAAATCTATCCGTGTTTGTAGTATTGGGGAATCTAAACTTGAGATCGGTTACATTTTGACTACAGGAAACGTTTTTAAATGTCCATTCAAGCAGATAGTGAGATATTTCCCCGTTGGGATTATGAGGTGGTTTCCAATGAAGGATGATCCCATTGTCAATTATGATGTGAGATTGTGTAACGGGACCAGGAACTTTATTTTGAAAAGAAATAAAAAGGTGAAAGATTTTATTTGACTTTTTTTTAATTCCTCAGTTAGTTATTCAATGTTTTAGTAAGTTTGATGATGTAATTTCAAGTACAGTCAACTTTTGATGTAACATCCTCTCCATACAACGTTTTTACCCGATAGTAGGATGCTGTTAGTCTGCCTTCAAAACTGATTGCACCGTATATTCACTTTATCTGTTTTTATATCGAGAGTTGACTGTACATAGCATGGTAAGATGAAATCTATTTAAATCGTTTTGTAATATTATGATACAAATAACAAATAATATTTGAACGACATTAATAGAACTTAAACTAATATTTATAAGAACAAAAAAAACTGTTAACTTACCATCACGTTTCGTTTGAAAATTTACTTGAGTGCTGATGACATTTTTATCACAATCTCTGATGAAAACATCATAGTCGCTAGTTGGTTGCAAGTTTTTGATATAAAAAGTTTTGGCACTAGGTGAGGATCTGAAAACATCGAAAATAAAGTCACGATTAGTAGAAAATTCTATTTTTTCGATTCAGACCCCGACTTCAATTTGCCGTTTACGTTCAATGAATTTTCAAATTATTACTAAATTCATGGCAAAGTCAATGTCGAGTTTTGTTTATTTATGTATTTTCAAGAAAAAGTTATAAATATTTAATAATTTACAAGATACCGACTCACATTTTGTCACATTTAAACTTGTCAGCCGAGTCACGAATTATGAATTCCTTCTTTAAGATCATGCAAATGTAAGCACATTGTATTGTTTCAAGGTCTCTCCAGATAATTTCAGCACCACGAGAATCTATTTTGCCAACTCTTATCGGTTCTAAGCTGTAGCTTGATGCTTTGATGTTCGTCCAACTTAAAAATTGAAAGTCTTGATCCATAAGACGACCATCTTCTAAGATAGATCCAAGAATCCGAACATTCACTTCTTCAGTGTTGATAATGTAAAGTCCAGTAACATTTCCCGGTACTTGCACTTCTGTCCAAGAAGTTTTGTTAGAATTTTTGGCGGGAACTCTTACCAAATTATTCTGAACATCGTTCCAACTGACATAAAGTGGCCACTTCTCATATGTTCCGATAACTTCATCAGTGAATACAACAGCATTCGATGTTTGATTATTACGAAATTGAATAGTGTAACCTGTAATGTTAATGTCAGTAAGTGGCGCGTCCCATCTTAAGAAAATCCCGCTAGGTGGTTTAACGAATCTTGCTTCAATGCCTTGTGTTGCACATTTGATTGGCTTTGACAATTGTGAGATGACCATTTTTGAGTTACTGGGAATCATACTTCTCATAAATAGATAAAAAGGCTTAAGTGGCTTAAATATGCCTGCTTTTGTTGTGTCGATGTTGAAACTCTTACTTGAAGGCTCGATAGATAATTGCGAGTGAAAATCACGTGGAGAGTCAGTCGCTATAAAATATTGGATTCTGTTCGAATGATTCTCTTTGTCAAACGTGACAAAGACAACGTTCTTATCCTTTGGATAGCATTTTGGATTTTGTGGTGCCTGGACTAACATGAGAATTGGACGAATGTGAAGATAGAAAGTGTTGCTTACTTCTCCATAATCATTTCGAGCTATGCATTGGTAAAGGCCTTCGTCCACTGGATCAATTGTTTCAAACTTCACCCATGGGTATTCAAAATATTGTACGTAGTTATTCACCAATCGTTCACCATTTTTAAACCTTTATTTTCATATTTTTTTAAGAAAAGTTTTTCTGTTAATTTAATTGGCAATCTAGAGAGAAAAAGTCACAAGTACTTACCATTCGACCGTTGGCATTGGATTACCCGTAACACTGCAATTAAATTTAATGCTAGCGGACACCGATGTAATCATCGATTTGGTCGGTTGAAGAAACATTGGAGGCGTTACGATGGCTACATCGAAGATCTGTAAAAAAGCAAAAGTGATAATGACATTGTTGGAAATCAGGACACGCTGTTGACTTTTCTCTTTATTATTCGAATGGAAAGGAAATAAAAAAGAAATTGAATCAGTTACAAGTTGTAACTATGTGAATTGATAAGTGGGCGTTTTTGTTTTGCTATTTCTACAAAAGCTGTTAGGATCCTTGTGATAAGTTTTCTATGTAAACAAAGAATAAGTAAATTTTTTTTATTCTTCTAAGCTATTCATGAAATTCAAAACTTTATGATATAAATATCAACATAAGTTATTCAAATATCAAATCAATGAAAGAAATCAAAAATCCTAGAAAATGTCAACTCACCTGAGAATCGTTTTCTGTTGAACAATTATAAATTCCATCGTGCTTTGTCACTGAAACATTCACGAATTTCAGTTCGTTATTGTACTCGGAGAGGATGATTGGGATGCTACTGCTACGTGGTGTGAATGTCCATGAAATCTAAAGCAAATAATTTTCAAAAAATCTGTTTCATGTAGCAATATCTTTCGGAGTTTCTCTACCTTTTTCTGCTTCAGTCCCCTACCAGAAGAGGAAGCAACAGCACAATGAAGAATTAAAATCCCTCCTGATTTAATTTTCTGTACTTTGTTCTGCAGATTCCGAAGCAAAGCTCTCACATAATTAGAGTTATTATCAGAACGTGATTCAACATTAAATGTTGTAGTCGAGGTACGCAATAACTTCTTCGTGAATTGATTTGCGGCATCACAACGATATTTTCCAGAGTCGGCATGACGACTGTCAACAATCAATAAGCTTCCATTTGAAAGGAGAAAATGTCTAAGGATACGAAATGGACAAAACGTTAAATTGTTTTCAAATGAATTCTCTTAAGGTATTATCAAATCTAAGCAAGATTTTAATAAACAAATAATTAAATATGTAACCTGATATCTTTCTGCTTTAAGCCTGCATCGAAATTTAATTGGTTGTTATTGAAATACCAGGAGAAATTTGCTTTGGGTATGCTGCTAATAGGACAGCTTATAACAGTTGATTCTCCTTCGAATATCGTAATATTTCTCTTAGAATTTTCCTTCAAAAACTCAACGTCATACAAATCTAAATGTGTATAAAAAATATCCGAAGAAAATTTATGGTCAATCGAGTGAGATAAGAGGTAAGCTTTATATATCAACACTTACTTGCTGTCTCAACAACAGTTGCTAGCGATACTATTGGTCCTATCACATATTTCTTCTCAGCATCAACATATTTTGCTTTGCAACGATATTCACCGGATGTTGAGTTTGATGCTTCAAATTTGAGAGTTCCATTGGGATACAAAGAATACTCTTTATCATAGAGTATTGAACTTTCGTTACTTGTCAATGAGATAATTTTGATATCATCACGAAACCACTCGAAAGAAAGATTTTCATGCAAGCTTCTCTTCAATCTTTTACCTAAATCTCTTTTTGTAGGTGTAGTAGGAACTGGAAGAGACGTTAGATTTGCTTTGTTTTGTTTTTTACGAGAACTATCGAATTGTTTTTGGTAAAGTCGTATAATTTCTTCTGCATTTCTAGTACCCGAGTAATCGTCTTCTCCATCATCTCCATCATTTGGATCTTGATAGAATCTTTGTGTATTAAAATCTTTTTGCAGAGAGTCATCGATCTTCACAGTTACATGACAGTTGAGGTAGGTTGGAATAAAGCTGTTGGAGTTTGCAACCATATAGCTGGGATTCTCAGAAATGAATTTCAAGGGGGTCTCAGGACCATTTCTGTTGACTTGTGTTTGAGCTATAGAACAAGAAACAAAAGAAAAAAAAATATTTATCAGCTTTATATATTAGCAACTCAACGTGACCATTATTAAACTTCAAAAAATCATCAAGTTTAATCGAATTTTATTTCACATGCTTCCTGAATGAAGAACTTAGTTGACTGCACGTTAAAAACTGCATACGAAGGGAAGAAAATACAAACTCATCGTTTCCCTAACCTTCCCCAACGTAAAATTTCTTCATGAATTTCATTTTATATATTTAAAATTTCTTCATTCATAAAAATAATCTTTTGCTGTAATCAAAAATTAAGCAACACAGAAATTACTTTTCATAATCTTTTGTCACGTTCATAGATACTTTGATATGCAACCCAATTTGAATGAATCTTGTCAAATATTCAAGGAAAAAAATAAATTTCAAATTTCAAATGTAAAAATTTATGAGAACTATTAAGTAGGAGCTTATTTTTAACGTACTAAATTATGTATTTATAGAATATTAACTATTTATTTTAAAAATTACTTGTTTACTTTTCAGAATAAAAAGAATTTCAATAAATTTTTTTGAAATTACATAAAAACAAACATTTGAAATAAGCACGAAGAATCATTATTAATATCTGCTAGGTCGATAGTACAAATATTTTATTTCTTTATTTCTTTTTATCAATGAAGCTTTTTTTTTTACTGCGAAAATGTTTTTAACTTTATTTCTATGAAAGTTTCGATAACGATAGCAATTAATCTCATATCAGTTTTGTTTTCATCCCACAGTTTGTAAACAACTGAAAGGTTGTTTGCTTCTGTTCCGGTCGCTGAACCACGACAGCATGCCTTGCCGTTCCGAAGTATACTGAGTCCTATCGAGTCCTCTGAGTCCTCTGAGTCCTACCGGTACAGATTCTTCTTAGATGACAGCTGAATTGACTTTATGATTTTTCTTAAAATTATAGTTAAAAATTTTATAACGATGTTCTGTATTAGCTTTGAAACATTTTAGCAAGCATTTTAGTATGTCAAATATGAATGTTGTCATACCAATAAGCATCTCTAATAGATAGTAGCGCATTACTCATGAGGTGTTTCATTAAATTTTATGTTAACAAGCTTTCATAATCTAACAATATGAAGATTAATTGAAATATGTTGGTGATTGAGGTGGAAACACATGTCGACTATCTACTTAAGCGAGTAGAATTCATAATTTGTTGTTTCACTCTCATTTATTTATGTTGAAAAGCAGAGCTTTAAATAGCGAGAATGTTAATGGTTACATTCCGCTCAAAAGGATGTAAAAAGCATTCCAATGAAGTATTATGAAAGCGTAGTCATAGTGTAACTGCTTAGAGAGAAAATGACACGCAATAAAGAAATAAATCTTTCATGATATCAAAATTAATTATGGCATTTTGCTGAACAAAAAAGGAGCATTCAACGCATAAAGTTATGTTTAATTCGATTAAAATATTTTATCGTGCTCTTGAAAAGGCGTTTTGCGTGAAATAAATTATTCTACAAAAGAGTGGGCTGAAATTATCTAGCTTTGATGTTAAAGCATACATATATGCACAAAATTTATCACTAATTCAATCTTCCTAAGAAAACATTGAGAAGTATTTTGTGGAACGTGTAGATGAGACTTGATTTGCGATAAAAAATAGAAGTGCACACGAAAATTGGTCAAATTAATAGTTGAATAAATTGACATTCGTGTCATCCACCTATTTGTGGAAATTTCCATTTCGGCAAGTGACAAAAGAGGCTCCTCAATTCATAGCGCTTTGGCGCATCTAATAATAAATTTATCAAGCCTCAACACTATTCATATTTAAGTTCATTTAGATTCAATCAAATAATAAATAATTTTATTATTCCTAACAACAACTCAAGTTGAAAAGAGAGGAAGAAAAAAATTGTTTGATTTAATTTATGCGAGAATTTATTTCTATTTTTCTTGGATGGGTTAAATGAGTCATTCGATGGTTGCACGCATTGTGTTACCACAATGCATCACATTGATGATGATAATGATGATGATGTTAAGGATAGATTGTTTTGAAGTGACTCAGTAAAGAAGCTTAAGCGAAGCGTAGAATTTTCTGTTTCCTTCTGCACTCATCTTTTTGTCTTCCTGTCTTCAATTGTTTCTTTTATTGTAGTAGCATTTATGGCAAGCGCGAGAATGAGAAAAACAGAAGTTGGAGATTTTTAATGGCAAACGAATATAAATCATAAGAAATATTTAATTGTAAGTCATAAAATATGTTGTTTATTTCGAGTTTTTGCTCGTTCTTCTATTGTTAACAGAATGTTTTATATCAATATACATGTATTCGTTGTTTTTATATCCTTTTTTGGCGATCAAAGAGTCAAAGAAAATTTATCACACATGAAAGAGTACTGCGAGATGTCGACTGAGTGTAATCATGAACGACAGAAGTACTTTAACTCAAATTTAGTGTTCATTTCAAAGCATATTCATCATTCTAATTATAAGTAAACAACGTCTGATTGCATTTAGTATGCTGCTACTGCTGAGGTTGCTATTCCAAATCAGAATGCTGGTGAAGCTGATTTCATTGTGCTATAATTTTAAATCCACCAAATTAGCTTTTGTCTTGAAAAAAGAAATCATTTGTGGTCATAAAAAGCCGATATATGTTTACTAAAACTCATCTATGTTATTTCTAATTGAACATTCATGATACTTTCACATTTACACAGATTCATGTAATGTTGTGATCTTGCGTGAATAAATTTTAGCCGAAAAAATATCCCACGTGGTTTTCTGGTAGATTTTAAATATAATTATTAATTTTATTTATATCCTTGATTTACTTAAGTTTGTGCAAATTAAATCTAAACAATTGCCAATTCGACCCAAGATTATCGATGGCATTTGTTTTCTTCATATTTTCATGACTTTTAAATGTTATTACGGGCATGTTTTAGTCTTTTGTGATATTTTTTTGTAGCGTACACGAAAACATTGGAATAGGATTTGAGAAAAAATTTGCAATTCTTAAGTAATTCATTCCGAATTGATTTTTCTTCTTTTTCATTTAAAGTTTTGTGTGGCTGTATTGTAGTGGTTATTTGTACACGATTTTAATGTAGGTAAGTATAAAAACAACCAAGAAAACAAACAAACAAACACTTTGGTTCACATCGAATCAAAATTTATAATACAGTTCGTTCGTTCATTTTACTTATTTGACGTTGCTCAAATGATTTATGTTTTTGTCGTCTACCTACACTTGACTTTTAAAAGCATAACAGGAAAAATGTTTTTTTTTAATTTCGTCTTCAAGCATAAGCAAAAGTTCTATTAATTTTATTCCTCATTTTATTTAATAAATATGGTCGAACATTGTAAATATTCAAGACATTTCTATAAAAATAAAAGGAATTAAGAAATTAATGAATGAGCTGATTCTATTTTAGCTAATTTTGCAGTTTAAATGTCCGCTGTGAAATTTGATTAAAGCACGTTACGGCACGTGAACGGTGATGAGAAATGCGCAACCATAGACACAACTAACTTGTTCAATTATTCTCTTAATATTTTGACACGCTAAATTAAAAACAAGTAACCTTGATAGTGAAAAATGTTCAAAAGCTATGAGGATCCCTGTTCACATTTCACGCAAATGAATTTTTATTAATTATTAATTAGAACACTTTCCATAGGTCATCAAATATTATTAATGAACGCCATAAGTTTATTTTCCCTTATTTTCTATCACGAGTGGAACTTTTATCTATACATTCAAGAATTTCATCTGAAAATCTCATAAAACAGACCATTTTCATATTGATATGGAAATAGAAATATTTATAATGAAATGAGCCGTCAAGGAGCAACAAATAACACTAAAAAATTCCCATTACACTTCGCTTCGTTGATAATCAAGAGCTAAAACTTGTGCTGTTGCCGCAAAAAAAAATTGTTATGAGCTCGTCGTTTCGAGAAAGAAAAAGATTTGCCTTTTGGATACCATTCGCCAAAAAGTTGTTGCTTTAGGTTGTGTTGGGGCAAGAAACTTAATCATAAAAAAGATTCCCAACAGTTTTTACAATGCAACGATAATCGTTGAATCTAATGATTTACAGCAGTTTCATGTTTTTACGTTGTACACAATAATTTGAAGTAGAAGTGGATCGTAAACTTATACAGAGACAGCAGTTCACACATTTCGGTTGCATTTGCAAAAAACATTATTGAGTTCTTTTTCCTTATCTCTCACATTATCATGACACAATGTGATGTCATAAATTCCAATAGGTAGTCTTATGTTTTGTCATAAGTCAGCTTAAACAAATGTTATGAAGTTGAAATTAAGTCATCTTTCAATGTCGATTTGCAGAAAAGTTGATTAAGAGAAGATGATGATTATTTATTTTTTCGTGTTGAACATGAAGAATAATTTTGAAGCAGTTCGTTTAAACTTGGACGAAGTTCAACGGAAATCGTAAAGGAATATGATATTTTCCTATTAAATTTGATTCACCCGTTTTGAAATTCAAAGCCGCGAACTGGTTGCTTAAAACGTGAAAATCGTGTTAGTTGTGGAATTTCATGCGACAGACGTATTAAGAAAGAGGGAAGCGCGGAAAGGGTTATCAATTACCTTTACTATTGTCTACGACTTCTTCATATATTCAGTGCAAACGACACATGTTTGCGACGTGACACAGTTCTGAGTAAATATCATTTGGTTTTGAATCAACAAAAGAAAGTGATCCTATTTATTTTCAAACTTATTCTACATCTTGAAAAGTGAAAGTACTAACATTCAAAGAACAGTTAATATAAAAACAAAAATTTGACTTCATTCGAAGATATTTGTTGATTAGATTGAAGTTTTAATAAACAAGAACATTAATTTTCTAACTATCAAATTGATTACTTAGATCTCACCTCAGGACTATCATTTTCAATTGTGTAAATTCTATAATGACATACCTAACTAACAATGATTCGTATGAACAATGGAAACAACTTACATTATCTCTTTAAAAGATAGAAATAAAGGAGAAGAAAAAGGTTCATAATTTTGTCCAACGAAACTAAACGGTAAATTCGTATTATCCCTTGTGCTAACCGACAATTCTTGTGAAGATCTTTTTGCCTTTCACAATTTCTTCTTGACCATATTCAAAGAGAAACTCAAAATCAATCAGAAAACATCACATAAATGGAATAGCAAAACAAAATCCAATGAAGGGAGCAACACCGAAAATTCCAAATGAATGATGATTTGAAATTGTGAAAAAGAAAGAAAATATTTGCTAACTTCGAATATTTCTTCTGCCTCTTAATGAAATTTAGTATTATTCAGTCTTTCTACCTAGTTCTAATCTTTTTTAGGTTTTGAAATGACAGCTTCTTGGAAATGAGATTGTCAGTGTTGGTGTTTGCCTAAGTTAATCCATAGAGTTACAGGGAGGAGTCACGAGTAAGAAATCTACCTGGAATTTTTCTAAACAGTACAAATTGGTACGCAATGAATGGCTGAACGATTTAAATAAGATTTTTTTTTCTTTTCTTAAATTTTTTCTTCCTTTGCTGCAGTTTGATCCCTTCTGCAATTTCTTGTTTCTTTCTTCAACAAGCAACACTCAATTAAAGATATCATGCAACGAATATAAAGACTGATAGAATGATGTGTGGTCAATGAAAACGATTTAAAAAAAAAAGAAAAAATCGCACAATTTATTACTCATATCGAGAATGCCAGAAAATTCCGTAGAACAAAATTGCGGCAGATAAGTTCTACTTCAATTACTTCTTTGTAAGAGCGGCAAAACTGCAATGAAAGCTTTTGCATTTGAAGGTGTCGATGGTACACGCAAATACAAAAGCCTTCATTGCAGTTTCGCCGCTCTTACAAAGAAATACCTAATTGAAGTAGAACTTATCTGCCGCAATTTTGTTCTACGGAATTTTCTGGCATTCTCAATTTCTATGCTTTTCAAATTACCAAC